GACAATAACCAAGTACGAACGAAATGTTCATTCGTTGGCTAAATCACACGCGCCAGACAAAATACATACAAAAAAAGTACACAGATTAATGATGAATAACGAATATAGAAAAATATAGAACGACCTTATTACGACATCATAAAATAGTTATACGAAGTGCAGAATTAAGCGCAGATGAAATCCTCAGGAGTCTTCTTTCCACAGACGTTGAGTAACAAGTTCAACTTGACGGGCACATCGAGGTTGATGCCTAACACATTAGCTTTGAGAGCGGTGCAAAGGCACACTGCAGCTTCAAGATCAACAAGACCCTGAATGAGAGAGCAGCATGGGGTTTTTGGTGGCTCCCCAAGTTTCACGTCCACCAAACCTAACAGACTAGCACACACACCAAACTTAAGGGTGTCTTCGGGACAAGTACCATGGTTTGTGGAAGGTGTGGAGCTAACCAAAGTGAAGAAGAGAATGTTAAGGGACAAAAGAAGAGCAGCTTTGGAAGCCATTTCACGATGGTGTTGGCAAGTTGCTCACTCTTACAACACTACTCTTATACTTTGGTTTGGTGTCTGAGCTCGGGATGGGATTGGAGAGGGATGTGAAGGGGTTTTATAGGGTAGGATTGAAGAGAGTCTTCGTGTTTTATGGTTTAAAATAGTTGCGCTTATTTGGAGGCCCATGTGAGTGAGCCCGTGGAAATTGGAAAAGCTGGCATAGGATTAACACTTAACATGGAAGAGGGAATATAATCTTGTATTATATCAAGTTTTAAATCACATAAGCAATTTGTAGTGATGGAGTTATGTCAACTCCCTGAAATCATTTCACGGATATTTTGGTATTAATTTTTCAATAGTTTGCTTACTGGTTTGTGGTCATAGTTAATTAGTATTTACATATCGACTCTTTGGATGTACTAGGTGTAAAACCCACATTTGAAAACAGGATTTTATATTGATGGCTATACTAGTAAAAAAAGATACATTTTATGACATGATTTTATGTTGTTGCAAAGTAATTGACAAAAAAAAAAGGTAACATTTTTGTAATTAATATAAAAATTTCAATACTAATTACATTTTAATCGACATAGAAAATATTTTTATGTTGATTTAAACAACAACTGCAATAAAGTGTTTTATATCAGCACAGTATCTCCAACACACAACGCGTGACATTCTTCTGCTCCTAGGTTTTGAGTCCTCTTACATTGGTTTAATTTGTTCCTTCGGCACCGTTACGTGCTCTTCTCTCCTTTCTCCTCATCTTTGAAGCATCCATGGTAATTGTACTGCAGTCCCGACAACAGAGGGGAGAAGAAAAGGAACAAGAAGATTTATTGACGATTGACTCAGCGCAAACCAAATTGTGCCCAATGTCCTCGAGGCAGAGACTCCCAAGGAGTCTCACGCCCAGCGCGACAAGGGCCGCGCTTAGCGCAGCACATCAATATCATCATTCAGCTCAATAATCATTCATCGTTAACAGCTTAAAACAACATGATCAACACATAATACGACCCAACCATCTTGTTTACAACTCATCTATCTTGTCAAATTACTCACCCAAACAACAAGAGTACACCTAAGCACCTAAACAACTTTCAACTTAACCAAATCACTGAAAG